ACAAAAATAACAATAAATGTCTACCAGACCTAAAATTGCTCAGGATAATTCTTTCTGGCTTGTGACCTATTATATATTCCATCTTTCCATAGTCAAGGTACTCTCATAGCCACAGTCAAGAAGTCTGCAGTATCTTTAGTATGGATGTAGCTGTTCAGAGAACTTTAGTTCACAGATTCCCCTGTTGGCCATGCACCACATGGTGCAGGTGGAGGCCAAAGGTTGTTTTGTGTCCCATGGAGCTAGTAAGGTCCATTCCTAGGATGGGATAAAGATGAGACAGGCAGGAATTGAATGGGCAGGAAAGAGATATAGTTGTGAAAGCCATTGCAGAATACAGTCCTAGATCATACTAATGTATAAACCATCACGATCTGATTCTCTTTTCCTTTTGTCTTCTCTTTGCATCTGATGTTACATGCCACATAAAATTGGAGTACTGTAGCTAAAGTTAAATTAATTGAGAATATACCATAAGCTAGGTGTGGTAGTGCACACCCAGAAAATCCTGGCAGTTTGGAGCTGAAGGCAGGGAGCTTGTGAGTTTGAGATTAGTAGGGAGAAAGAGAAAGAAAAAGAACAAAGGAGGAGATAATAGAAGAGGAAAAGGAAAAAGGAGGAAGAAAAGGATAAGAGGGAAATAGGTATGTTTTTTTTGTTTGTAATCATTGTTTTTTTTAAATTTAATTTAATTTTTTTTGTGAACATACTGTACAGAGGGGTTACAATTACATGGGCAGGATAATGCATACATTTCTTACCAAGCATTGCAGCCTCCTCCTTTGTTTTTACATCCCTTCCCTACCTCCCCCCTACCTCCCCCCCCCCAATCCTCCCCCCTCTCCCCCCCCCCACACCAACGTTGTAAAGCTCCTTTTCGACATAACCTTGTACTTCTCATTGTTGCAACAGGTCCACCTGTATCCTTAAACGACTTGTTTTTCCCCCATCTCCTCCACAATTTATACTGACATCAAATGGAAATAGGTATGTTAACCAACCCAAATTCCTCTGTATCATCATACTCTTTGATCATGCTTGTAGCTATAGTAACCTCTACTGTATGAAATATTTGATGCTTGGAGTATTTGAAATAATATTTAAAATAATTGTCAAAATAGTCTTTTTTTTCTGGCCAATTTGACAACATAGCGATCAAAGCACTTTGACATGACTAGTTCTAAGAAAGATCTTTGAGGATATAAATGGATAATTACATTACAGAAGAAGTCAGACAATAACATGAAGTCATGAGTCTCTTGCCTCAGTCTCCAAAGTGTGGAGGTTATGGAGGGATGGCAGTGGTAGGTGGTACCATGGCCAACTTTGCTTCCCTTATTCTTTTTTTTTTTTTTTTTGGTCTGTCATGGGGCTTGAATTCTGGGCCTGGGCACTGTCCCTCAGCTCTTCAGCTATAGATGAGCACTCTACCACTAGAGCCACAGTGCCACTTCTGGTTTTCTGGTGGTTAATTGGAGATAAGAGTCTCACAGAGCCGGGCGCTGGTGGCTCACGCCTGTAATCCTAGCTACTCAGGAGGCTGAGATCTGAGGATTGCGGTTCAAAGCCAGCCCGGGCAGGAGAGACCTTGAGACTCCTATCTCCAATAAACCACCAGAAAACCGGAAGTGGCGCTGTAGCTCAAGTGGTAGAGCACTCGCCTTGAGCTGAAGAGCTGAGGGACAGCGCCCAGGCCCAGAGTTCAAGCCCCACGACCGACAAAAAAAAAAAAAGAGTCTCACAGACTTTCCTGCCTGGGCTGGCTTTGAACTGCGATGCTCACATCTCAGCCTTCTGAGTAGCTAGGATTACAGGCGTGAACCACCTGCGCCCAGCCACCTTATTCTTTGGCAAAGAATAAATCTTGTGGGCTGGGAAGGTGGCTCAGTGGTAGAGTGCTTGCCTTGCATGCATGAGGCCCTGGGTTTGATTCCTCAGCACCACATAAGCAGAAAAAGCCGCAAGTGGTGCTGTGGCTCAAGTGGTAGAGCGCTAGCCTTGAGCTGAAGACCTGAGGGACAGCTCCCAGGCCCAGAGTTCAGCCCCCACAACCGACAAAAAAAAAAAAAAAAAAAAAAGAATCAATATTGCTTTGATGCAGAAAAGAAGAGAAAAAGAACCAATTCATCTTTTCTTTTTTTTCTTTCCTTCCTTTCTTCCCTCCATCTTTCTTTTTCTCTTTTTTGGTTCAAAATAACAGCCATGAAGCAAGCATTAGTATTTAGGAGGTTAAAGGTTACAGTGTATGGGAAGTTCTCTGATGACTGTTTTCAAATTTTTTTTAAATCTAAGAATGCAAATTAAAGTGTCGATCTTACCTTTGGTGCAATTAATACCACTGGAAAAAAAGTAAAACAGGTGCTGTCATGGGGCGGATACCAGTGGGATGTTGGCTGGTAAATAGAGTGAATGGGATGGAGGAGTAGGGAGTTAATGGAGAAGTGAAGTTGATCGGGGTATGTTGTATGGCTGTATGGAAATGTCACAGTGAAACCCCCTCTTGTACAACTAATGTAAGCTAATTAATAAAAATCTCAAATAGTTTTTCTTCCCCTTCTGTACTAGGCACTGTAGCATCTTTGAAAAGTAACTTACAGCCCATTTGAAATGTAGAATCCATGACAAAATTTTGTTTGGAATAGCATTTTGATACTTGAGGAAGACAGAAACTGTCTGTGTGCTGTCTGGTAGACTGGCCTGATCGTGGATAGGAGAGGCTAGCCAGGCTTGCCTGGGGCACTGAGCTGACCCAGGCAGACACAGGGCTGTTTGCTGTGTGTCTGTGGCTCTGCCAGAAAGAGGCTGGCAGTTCCTGACAAAGGCAAGCTTGGCACCGCTGTGTCAGAAGATAATACTTCCACTGATGGCACATAGCGTATTTCTTTAGGTTGCCACTGCACATAGGCCATGAGTATCTAGTTTGGTATTTGTTATTCTAACATTTCTCTTTTCACTCATTTTGACTGGAGGTAAGACATACACGTAGGTGCTAACAGCGTAGTTCAGCTAGCATTCTGTGAAGCTCTAGATTTGATCTCCAGCCCTGACCAAACAAAACATATACCTGTTTATTAATAGGATTGTTGATTACTTAGCATTTGGTCTCAGATCTTCTTAACTGGAGCCATTAAACTATTATTCCTATTTGACAGATAAAGGGGATTGAATTTAGAGAGGCTGAGTAACTTATCTGAGGCCACATGATTTGTGATATCCTGATGCTTTATATTTTCATAAATACAAGATGAGGATGAAGAGAAAGGAGCTTAGAAGCAAAGGACACATTCTTGCTTTGCCTTGTTTTGGTTTTGGTGGCACTGGGGTTTGCATTCAGGGCCTGGAGATTTCTAGGCAGGCTTTCTACCATTTGAGCCATACTCCCAATATTTTTCTGCCTTATTTTTCACTTAGTGTCTGATGTTTTAGCCTGGATCCAGACTCACCTCAATTCTCCTGTCTATACTTCCCATGTAGCTGAGATCTCAGTTATACACCACCAAACCTGGCTTACTGATTGAGATGGGGGTTTCAATCATTTTTGCCCAAGCTGGCCTCACACTGTGATCATTCTATCTCCACCTCCCAAGTATTTGGGATTACAGGAATGATCCCCTTCATCTACACACTGGTACCAATGTATAGCCCTGAAAAAAGACTCATTTTAATGATTTTTTTCTGAGAAATATTAAATGTTGAAGACGTATTCTACTGCTAATAAGAGATTTTTTTAATCAAATTACCTGGATAGTAAGAAACCATTTATATAAAGAAAATGTGACTACCCATAAATGAAGAATGAAATCCTGTCATTGTGACAACAATGGAGAGAATTGAAGATCATTACAGTAAGTGAAATAAGTCAGTCACAGGAAGACAGGTAATGCCTAATCTCACTCATGTGGAATCTCAAAGCTAATCACATAGAAGTGGGGAGTAGAATAGCAGCTGGCTACCAAAGGCTGGGAAGAGCAGGAGGAGGAAGGGTTGGGAGCTATAATTGAATAAGAGCAGGGAGTTTCTGTGTGCTATTGTATAGAATAGTGACTATAAATAATGTACTGTACATTTCAATAAGTTAGAAGAATGGATGTTTGAAGGTTTTTACCATAAAGAAATGATGTTTGGGGAGATGGCTTGACTTTATTGTAATACTTTATTTTGTGCAGGCACTGGAGCTTGAATTTAGAACCAATGCACCCTCTCTTTGTTTTTCTGTGCAAGGCTGGAGCTCCACCACTTGAGCCCAACTTCTACTTTAGGCTTTTTGCTAGTTGATTGGAGATAGGAGTCTCTTGGATTTGTCTGCATGACTGACTTCAAACTTCAATCCTCAGCTACTCCTGAGTAGCTAAGGTTACAGACATGAGCCACTAGCACCTGGCTTACCTTAGACATTTTACAATGCATACAAGTACAAAAACATGCACAATTTTGTTTTCAATGTATGATTTAGAAAATAAGTTTAAAAATTAATTATTTTAATTAGTATAAAATTAAAGTGGCACTTCATGAATTAAAAATAAAAATAAACAAAAAAGTGACCTTATGAGCCTGGTGCTGGTGGCTCATGCCTGTAATCCTAGCTACTCAGGAGGCTGAGATCTGAGGATCATGGTTCAAAGCCAGGCTGAGCCAGAAAGTCTGTGAGACTCTTATTTCCAATAAACCACCAGAAAACTGGAAGTGGTGCTATGGCTCAAGTGGTAGAGTGCTGGCCTTGAGCTGAAGAGCTGAGGGACAGCACGCAAGCCCAGAGTTCAAGCCCCACGACTAACCAATAAAAAAGGGGGCATTATGTAGTATGAAAAATTTTATATAGAATGGTAATAAAGCAAATTATTAATGAACTGTAACAATGTAAATAAAATAAAGCACAACTATAATGTGCTGAGATGTTGAATTTTAATCTTTTTTATAAGTAATTGTTTTCTAATAAAAAGTTATATCATTATTAAAATATGATAAGCCTGCCTCACACTCACAAAAAGACACTTAATGAATAACAAAGTAAATGTCCTGCCTGTAAGGATTTAAACAACCTAAGTTTGTTTTTTCTATTGAATTTGCCTTGGATGGATAAAGGGAATTCAAAATGAAGAATATTTACACTTAACGCATGGAAAACTCAGACTGTTTGCTAAATGGCTTGGCAATAACTTGACTGTCATTTTGCCTTAAAGGTGCTTGCGAGCCTGCTCCCACGGGAGAGAAAGAAAATGTCAGGGTAGACCCTGACATAGGAAAGTCAGAATATTTCCAGGGTCTCTTCTGACTCTTCTGACTACTAATGGCTGTTGAGTATTCATGAGGGAACTGCACCTTTTCCTTAGGATCAGAAAACCCTGGGAATTAATCTGTTCCTTCTGTTTGCATGGTATGAAAACATCCACTTCTCTTGCAGCCTTCAAATGGCAGGTGGCGGCCTCAGAGGATGGCTCTTTGTTTGGTATTATACAATCCCAGGAGAGAGATAGTGTATAAACATAACATTTGCTCATTTCCCTTAGGCAGATATAATACTAATATTTATGAAAAGTTTGCAGAGAGCCACTTGATGGGGGAGCCAGGTGACTCTAAATGACAGAGGAAATTCACCTGAATTGGTTCAAGATGTGTGTTGCTGGGAAACTATGTCCAGAGGCAAATAACCTTATTGATCACCAGGAAATGATGCCACCAAATAAATGAGCAGACAGGTGCAGCCACACAAACAGCAGTTAGCAGAGTTTTTTTAAATTTTGGATGAAAGGCTTCTTGTTCTTGTTTTATATTAAAGCTGACAGATTTAGAAGGAAGAGAATAAAAAGGAATAAGATTATTTGCTAAGGTCATCCTGCTAACTCATTTCCTAGGGCCTTTTGAATATGTGATTTCTAATTTTCTTTCCTGTACTCTGTGTTTGTGTTTGTGTGTGTGTGTGTGTGTGTGTGTGTGTGTGTGTGTGCAGCTGTCTGGGGGCTTGAATTCAGGGCCTACACACTGTCCCTGAGCTACTGAGCTTAAGGCTAAAACTGCCACTTGAGCCATAGCTCTACTTCAAGCTTTTTGGTGGTTAATCATAGACTTTCTTGCCCAGGCTGTCTTTGAACTGTGATCATCAGATCTCAGCCTCCTCAGTAGCTAGGATTAGCCACCCATGCCTGGCTAAAATAAATTCCTTAGTGACAGTCCTTCAAGTAGTCACAAATAGTGTTTATTGTTGGACCGAGTCACGATCAGAATGAATTCTATATTCTTATTTTATTTTCATTTGGTATAAGTATTGAATAGAAGAGAACAAGAAGGAAGTAACAATCCTTGATTACTTACTTTGTTTCCAGTAAGTAATGTGAAAAAAATAGATGAAATAATCTATTTGCTGGCAATATAACTAGTATGTTTGATGAAAAGAAATAATTGAGAATCATTTGACTTGCAAAAAGGCATATTGCCTAGTCACTATTGGCACACACTCTGCACACAGATGCCAAGGTACTGGGCTATCTCTTTGCAGGGTGCTCAGGACAGTAGAAAGATATGGGATGCCTGAAGTGAGTGACTCTCCTTTGCTAAAGTCAGAAGCAAGACAGCTTCTGCGAAAAGGGAGATGAGGAAAGAGACCAACCATGGGCAGGTCCTCTGAGCAAAATGACAGGTGACACTGATGATAAAGAAATGAATGGGCTGGCAGAATTGGTTATACAAATGCAGAAAACTGAAATTAGATCTTTGTATATCACCATGTACCAGAATCAACTCCAAATAGATCAAAGACTTCAATGTAAGACCAGATACCCTGAAAATATACAAGAAGGGATAGGGGAAATACCAAGGCTCCTTGGCACAGGTTGAAACTTCCTAAGACCCAGAATCACAATAAATCAAAGAAAGACTAGATACATGGGGTTGCATCAAACTGAAGAGTTTCTGCATGGCACAGGACAAAGCAAGCAAGATAAATAGAAAGCCCACAGACTGGGAGAAGATCTTTACTAGCTATGCACACACAAGAGCCTCATATCTAAAATATACTCAAAAATGTAACCTCCCAAAAACTAATCTTCAAGGAAACAACAACCCAATTAATAAATTGGCTAAAGAATTATGGGCTGGGAAGGTGGCTCAGTGGTAGAGCGCTTGCTTTGCATGCATGAGGCCCTGGGTTCGATTCCTCAGCACCACATAAGAAAAAAGCTGGAAATGGTGCTGTGGCTGAAGTGGTAGAGTGCTAGCCTTGAGCTGAAGAGCTGAGGGACAGCACCCAGGCCCAGAGTTCAAGCCCCACGACTGGACCCAGAAAAAAAAAAGAATTAAAGAGAGACTTTTCTGAAGAAGAAATATAAATGGCCAATAGACATATGAAGAAAAATGTTCACTATCTCTGGCCATAGAAGAAGTGCAAACTGAAACAACATTGAGATTCCACCTCACCCCAGTTAGAATGGCCATTATCAAGAAAACTAACAGTAACAGATGCTGGGGGGGGATGTGGCCAAAAGGGAACACTATTACACTGTTGGTGGGAATGTAAACTTGTTCCACCATGTGGGGCACATGGGCAGCAAAGATGGCGCTGAGAGGGAGTTGAGTGGGCAGAGCCCGATTTGTTTACATTTAGTGCGTAAACAGCTCAAGGAAGCTTAGGTGCATGATAGGGTGTGACCTTTTACAGTGATTGGTTGGTTCCTTTTCCTCCCCATGCCACCCCGGTCTTTTTGCTTTAAAAAGTGCTTGCTGTGTGTTAATAAACGAGTTCCTGCTTGACTTGACTCCCCCCTGCCTCTGATTGTCTCCTGGGCTAAGGGAGGTTGGGGAAGGCGAGTGGTGCACTTAACTTTCCTTGGACCCCGTCTGTATTTCATGGGACAGATGAAGACCCGACACCACCACTCTAGAAAGCAGAGGTTCCTTAAAAGACTACACATAGAGCTTCCCTATGACCTAGCAGTCCCACTTCTGGGCATCTATCCAATTGACCACAGACTAGGCTACACTAAAGCCACCAGCATGACCATGTTCATTGCAGCATTGTTTACCATAGCCAAGATATGGAATCAATCCTGATATCCCTCAGTGGAAGAATGCATCAAGAAAATGTATGTATATATACACAATGGAATTCTGCTTCCATCAGAAAGAATGACATTGCTCATTCATAAGGAAATGGAAAGACTTGGAAAGAAAATTATATTAAGTGAAGTAAGGCAGACCCAAAGAAACATAGGCTGTATGGTTTCCCTTATTAGTAATAACTAGAATGTGCCTATAAATCTACAAGTAAGGGCTGGAAAGGTGGCTCAGTGGTAGAGTGCTCGCCTTGCATGTATGAAGCCCTGGGTTCCAGTCCTCAGTACCACATGAACAGAAAAAAGCTGGAAGTGATGCTGTGGCTCAAGTGGTAGAGTGCCAGTGTTGAGCAAAAGAAGCTCAGGGACAGTGCCCAGGCCCTAAGTTCAAGCCCTAGGACTGAGTAAAAAAA